GGGAGTGGGGATGGCCTGCTAGGCGTGCCGTTTAAATCGTTTGAAAACGTTTAGTGGCAGTTCCGAACTGCTGTTCCGCTGTGCGATCGGTGGGGACGGTAGGTTGTATATTCGGCAGCAGTAGGCCGGCCGGATGCGTTTACCCAGTGAGAAATGATATTTCAAATTGATATCGTTTTGACATCGAAATGATTTAATCAAAATTACATCAATTTAAAGGTCGATTTTGATTCGATCGTGTCCACGATTTCGAATAACTATTGATACTAAAAAATTCATCTGCAATCTTTCTCATATTCATATATTCGCCATCCAAACAAATCTTCAGCGAATTAATATCAATATCGACATCGAATTGACGTCGATTCGATATCAATTCGATATGACTGATTTCTATGAATATATTTTATTTATTTATAGAAATGATTATTTCTATAAATAATCATTTATGGCAGAACAGACCTTGATTCAGGAGCATCCAATGATAGTGTGGCTGTTGTTAATATAGTTCCTGAAAAATTTTATGATTGTCATATTAATCCCTTAGACCATACGAATGATAAATGGTTTATTAATCTGATGGATAAAATTATTCCACATGAGGTATCCAACTTATTACAACTAGGGGACAAATTTAGTTTACCGGATGTTACAAATAAAAGAAAAATTGTCAGAGAGTATATAAAAGATATCGAGAGTATGAACAATAAAAACAACTCATCTTTTGTTATACATATTAGAAATATAGTCATTCCTGAATTTAACGAATTTTTACACAATAACTCAGATAGGAACGCTCAAGATATTAAAATTAGCAATATGTTGAAATTTACCTCTAATTGGTGCAAAAATAATGAGAATATCTTGTTTACTCGTGCTGATAAGGGAAATGCTACAGTAGCATTAGAAAAAAGTTTATATAATGATAAAATGACAGAATTGCTTAATGACACGGAAACTTACACCATTGTAACAAAGAATCCATCGGTGACTTTGGAAAAAAGTCTTAACAATCTTTTAAAAAAATGGCACCAGAAAAACTATATTAACGACATTGAATTATGGAGATTGAGATCTAGCGATTCTTGTTTACCAAAAGCGTATGCATTACCTAAGATCCATAAAGATGGGATTCCCTTCAGGATTATTGTCTCTTCTGTAAACACAGCATTATACCAGCTTTTGCTAGATTCTTGCAGAATATTATCTCAAAAAATATTCCTTCTGCAAGGAGTAATATAAAGAACAGTTTCGAACTTTTTGAAAGACTGTAGGGATTACATATTAACACGAATGAAAGTATGATTTCGTTGGATGTAAAATCACTTTTTACGAATATTCCAATAGAACTTGCTATTGAGGGTTTGGAAAGAAGATGGAGTTCCATAGAGGGTGCCACGAATATTCCAAAAAAAGAATTTTTAGATGTAATTAAGTTTATTTTGATGTCAACCTATTTTACTTTTAATGAGACCATTTATAAACAAACATTTGGCACTCCTATGGGTTCCCCTCTTTTCCCCATCATAGCCGACATAGTGATGGAAGACATAGAAGTTAAAGCTCTTAATTCATTACAACTACAGGATCTACCATATTTCAGATATGTTGATGACTCGTTTTTGATTGTCCCAACAGAAAAAGTTCCGCAGTTAGTAAAAGCGTTTAATGAACAACATGTGAGACTTAAATTTACAGTTGAATATGAGGTTTGCCATGAGCTGAGCTTTTTAGATTTAAGGATTACTAATGACAACAACACATTAGTAATAGATTGGTTCCACAAAAAGACTTTTTCAGGTAGATACCTATCGTTCCTTTCAAATCATCCTAATTGTCACAAAATCGGAGTAATTTATAGTTTATTAGATAGAGTGATATTGTTATCGGACCCGATCTATTACAATAAAAATCTAGAATTCATCATCAAAATTTTATTGGATAATGGGTATCCTTTGGATTTCATCTTTAAAAATATTAATAACAGAATTAAAAATTTAGCTCAGAAAGACGTGTCGAAAGATATTAGTAATGATGACCATGGGTTGAGACAACTCATGGTCGTTCCATATGTTAAATCCGTGAATGAAAAAGTTAAAAGATCTATTAACAAAGCCAACTACATGATTGGTTACAGGTGTATTAATAATTTAAATAGATTTATTAAGGCTCAAAAAGATAAGAATAGACTTGAAAA